AGAGGACAGCAGGATTCCTGGGCAGTGGTGATGGTCCAGGGAGAGGCAAAGCCTTCCCTTTCTGATGCTGAGGTTGCTAGCCAGGGATGGGGTATCTTCCGGAATGTCAGAGTTGCCCTGGAGCCTGGAGAGGAGAGACTGGTGCTGGCTGGAGAGGGACTCACCCACATGAATCGCCCCTTCCTCGCTTGTCTGCAGTGGGACCTGGTGTGCGAGCAGAGAGGGCTAAACAAGATTACCTCCACCTGCTTCTTTGTCGGGGTGCTGCTGGGGGCTGTGGTGTATGGACACTTGGCTGACAGGTTAGACAGGCACAAGATAAATAAGGGACCAGGCGGAGGGAGCTCCCTCCCAATGGGATCTGACCTTGCAACGGCCCTTTGCAGGTTTGGCCGGCGCCAGCTTTTGCTGGTGGCTTATGTGAGCTCCCTGGTCCTGGCCCTGGCATCTGCCGCCTCAGTCAACTATATCATGTTTGTCATCACCCGAACTCTCACTGGCTCAGCCCTGGCTGGTTTCACCATCATTGTGTTGCCACTGGGTGAGGCGGATAAACACGGGAAGGCTTGCAGGGCCGGTGGGAGGCTGATAGAATTAGATGGACCCATCTGGCCCTTGCTAACTGTCTTCCTGTCTCCGATGGCTCCATGGCTCCGGGTCTAGAGCTGGAATGGCTGGATGTGGAGCACCGCACTGTGGCTGGTGTCATCAGCACCATCTTCTGGACAGGAGGAGTGCTGCTGCTAGCACTGGTTGGGTACCTGATCCGGAGCTGGCGGTGGCTTCTGCTAGCTGCCACCCTGCCATGCGTCCCAGGCATCATCAGCATCTGGTGAGAGCTGCAAGCAGCTGGGAGTGACAGATGCATGCAACCAAGACAAAATTAACTAGACTAAGGTTCTAAAACAGGCTGAGGAGATGGCTTACCTGGTAACAGCACACACTGGAGGACCCAAGTTCAATTCCCAGGACATACATCAGGCAGCATGCAAGCCCAGCTCTAGGGGATCAAACACCTCTGGCCTCTGTGTACATATGTGCACACATACAAACATGTACACATGCATATACCACACACATACACACACACACACAAAGAAACTAAGAGATGCAGAAACAGAGTCGGGGACCAAGAGACAAAATGATTTCAAGAGAAGCCAGAAAAACAGAAATCAATAGAAAGAAGATGGCACAAGACACAGGCATGGTGAGACCGAGACTGAGCCAGAGAGAGGTAGTGATAACAGACCGTAACTGAAAGGCAAATGCCAAGGGTCCGATGAAGACACACAGGCACAGGTAGTAAGAAACAGACAGGAAAAACAGTGGTCAGAGTCAGACACTGCCAAGTGGAGGCTGGGGTTTGCCTTCAAGGGACAAGGATGGGACGCGGCCTGCATGGTGGTGGAAACTGAGGCAGGAGAATGGAGGGCCTGGCAAGGTGGGTGCTTTATTGCCTCCTAATGGGGACCTGTGTATCAGTATGTTTCTTCAGCCCTCATCCTGCATCTTCCTGCCAGAAGTGTTGGCTGTGTTGGGGGCTAAGGTTTTGAGGGTAAGATAAATTTAGTTGAGGGGGCTAGAGAGACAGCTCAGTGGTTAAGAACATTGCCTGCTCTACCAAAAGTCCTGAGTTCAATTCCCAGCAACCACATGGTGGCTCACAACCATCTGTAATGAGGTCTGGTGCCCTCTTCTGGCCTGCAGACATACACACAGACAGAATATTGTATACATAATAAATAAATAAATAATTTTTTTAAAAAAAAAAGATAAATTCAGTTGAGTAAGCAAAGGACACCTTGGAAGACTGGGGAGTGGGTTCTAGGCCTGAATAACGAATCAGGGAAGAGGTGGCTTTGTTTTTCAAGACCAGGGTTTCCTCTGTGTTGCCCTGTCTTGCAACTCACTTTGTCGACCAGGCTAGCCTCAAACTCGTATATCCACCTGCCTCCGCCTCTGAGTGGTGGGCCACCACCACCCGGCTGCAAGGTAGCTTTTAAATTGGGCCCAAACAGGAGTTCATGGGACTGAACAGTAGGAGACCAGGGGCAGGGATTGGGGGTGGCCATGTCTTTTCATGCAGAAGGGGCTGCATGAGTGAGAACCTGGAGTCTATAGTCTGGAAGCTCAGGAGGTAGAGGTGGCTTGCAAGGCTGGTTTGTGGCTGAAGGGTTCTCTGGCTTCTCCCCTAGGTGGGTACCTGAGTCTGCACGATGGCTTCTAACCCAGGGCCGTGTGGAGGAGGCCCAGACATACTTATTCCGCTGTGCCAAGCTCAATGGACAGCCTGTGAGCGAGGACAGCCTGAGCCAGGAGGTAAGGGTGACAATGGATATAAGAGAGTCCCCAGGGGTGGGTGTCTAAGTGCCCCTTTTCCTGGGCCCACCATATATGACCAGAAAAGCCTTTATCTTCCAGTGGAGAGCACCTTGTGGTCTTCCAGTAGAGAGTAGCCTGCCTGGCTCTGGTGGGCCATCTCCTTTACTCCAGGTCCTCCACGTGTACTCCCCATCCCCAGTACTGCTGGGGAGAGAGATATGCAGAGAGCGCACAGGCTTCTGAGACAAGCTCTGATGGCACAGCCTTGCTCCTGCCCTCACCAGGTCCTGAACAAAGTGGTCACTGTGGAACGGGTGCTGCGAAGACCCTCATACCTAGACCTGTTCCGAACCCCGCAGCTCCTACGCATCTCACTGTGCTGCATGATGGTGTGGTAAGAAGGGGCTGAGCTGGGGCTGGGTGTGAAAAAGGTGAGGGCCAAGAGTGACTGGGGAGGATAGACAGGGAGGGGACTCTGACGGAGGCAGGCCCAGTGGAGTAGGCAGCTCTGTGACTTGACATCTACTTTTGTGAAATGAACGGGTTGCTGTCAGTTCCTGTGTCACAGGGTTGCTACTAAGATTGGGGTAAAGGCATTTTGGCCACTGGTAACCTACTTGGGGATTATGGGTGACTGGGAGTGAAGGGAGACCTCTAGGCTGCCAAGAGGCAGGAGGGGGCGAGGCAGAAAAGGGCTCTGGAGGAGCTTTGTGATTCTGTTCAGGTTTGGAGTGAATTTTGCCTACTATGGCTTGATTCTGGACGTGTCCGAGCTGGGGCTGAACGTGTACCAGACGCAGCTGCTGTTGGGGGCTATGGAACTGCCCTCCAAAATTGTGGTCTACTTCCTCGTGCGTCATGTGGGACGCCGCCTCACAGAGGCTGGAACACTGCTGGGTGCCACTCTGACCTTTGGCATCAGCCTGCTGGTGTCTCCAGGTGAGCTGAGGTCTTGAGGCCTGGCAGTTTGTCTCTGCTCTGGGCAGACAGTCTGGCTTGCACCCAGGGAGTTCCTAGAATCATTAAATCCAGGAACTAATGATTAGTTTCTAGAAAAACTGCGAGAATCCCTTTCCCTCCAGGGACCAAGTACTGGGTCACAGCTCTGTTGTTGTTGGGAAAAGGGTTTTCTGAAGCTGCCTTCACTACAGCCTACCTGTTCACATCTGAGTTGTACCCTACTGTGCTCAGGTGAGTTGTGGTCCCAGGCGACTGACTTGCCTTAACAAAGGCATCTGCAGTCACACTGCCCTATCTGTTCTTTAGCTACAGCCAGGTACATCGTGGTTGTTTGCCCAAGTCTTGGAGAGCACAGGGAATTTTATCTTTTGTACTGTGTGACCTTGGGCTACATTAACCTTATGGGGCTCCTTTGAAGAAAACAGTTCCAAAAATGCCCGTCCTACCCATGGTGTTGCAGAGCCCTTGGGGATAGTCTCTGGGTACAAGGCAGGGGCCTCCCCTCCTTGTAAGCTACAGATCTCCCTTCAACACTACCGGCTTATAGCTCCTCATAGCGGTCCCTGAGCAGCACTCTGGTAGAATGGGGGTTCCATCCTCTGGTGGGTACTGGGTAGGGAGTGAGAAGGCAGTATCAGAGGCTGCCAGCCCAGGAGGGGAGCCTTGTGATGCATGTCCCCCTCATCCTCTCTTGGACAGACAGACAGGATTGGGACTCACTGCACTCATCGGCCGGCTAGGGGCCTCTTTAGCCCCACTGGCAGCCTTGCTGGATGGAGTATGGCTGATGCTGCCCAAACTTGCTTATGGGGGAATTGCCCTGCTGGCTGCCTGCGCTGCACTCCTGTTGCCCGAGACAAAGGTGGCACAGCTGCCAGAAACCATCCAGGATGTAGAAAGAAAGAGGTATATGTACATGTGTGTGGTATTCATGAGTTCAAATGCCTAAGCCCAACACTTGAGTGCCAAGGGGAAGACAGTTAGGTGCACAGCTACATTTGACATCTGTACATGTGTACACAGGTGTTTTGAGGTGTATGCCCTGTGTGTGTAAATTGTATACATAAAATCATACATAAGTCCATACCTTTATGTATATACTGACATCCGTGAAGAGATACACCAGAATATGTCCAGACGCATATGGGAACCCTGAGACAGTCCTTGAAGGCTCCAGGACTAAACCCCACCATGTTCCTGACCCCTCCTTCCTCCTTGTCCTGTCCAGTATTCAGGAAGAAGATATGCAGGTCTGGAACTGAGGGAGACTAGAGATAGCCCTCCACAGGAGCTCTGCGGGACCAGAAACAGAAGGCAGGCTCCTGAGACTGGAACATCACAGCCCTGTGCCTAAAGATGAAGTTGCCACTGGCACTTTCTGTATTCTTTCAGTCTCCAGCAACAGGACAGCCTCCCAGAATGCACTGGGCACTCCTCATGCCTGGGGGAATTCTGTAAATTAAGATGCCTCCTGGGTTGGGGCAGTATTGAGGTTTGGAGAAATTCCTCCATTGACTTGATCCTCAGCTCTGATTCTGGTTTTATCACTGTTCATCTCCCAAGTGGAAAATGAAACTTCCTAGCAGACAAGATATATTGTCACACTCAGACTGAACAAGGGGATTCTAGGAATGTTGCTGAAGGACAGTTCTCTGCTCATCTCTAGTACACGAGACTGACGGGTGTGCTGTCTCTGGTGCAGGGATAGGATCTGCCCAAGGACGGGACCAACAGATGGAGCTGCTTGTGTCCCTGCTCCCCCATCACAGTCTAGGCTTCATACCTACAGAGTTAAAGTTATGAGAGTCAACATTTTATTAGAGAAACCAGGGAGCTGAGACTCAATAAATGACCTCGATGAGTATACTTGGAAACTCCAGCATTGCTGGGAGAAGAACTGGGAAGCCAGGAGATCACCATTCTAAGTGGGGTAGCCTATCCAGATAGGAATTGGGAAGCAAAGAATTGGCAGAGCAAGTCCAGACTCAGGTCTACCACAGGGCCTAGGCCCAGACCCCTGGGATTTCACTGTTTTCCTCCCAAAAGGACTAGGGAATTCCAGAGCTTCCAGTGGACCGAAGAGAGGGTGGGAGGCCTGAGTTAGGATGATCAGTCCCGTGAATGGCTCATTTGGATCTTATCTCCACTGGGTCATAGATATAGCAGCCCACATTGCCAATGTTCACACCTGAAGGAGAAAGTCCTGTCACCAAGGGCTTTGGTGGAATGAGTGTTGAGGGCTAAAGGGAGAGGGGAGGAGCTTGGATGTCTGACTACAAAAGAAGTTCTTCACACATTCCCATAGGCCCCAGTGTCTGGGGTCTGGCTGCCCACCTTTGGGGCCAAACAGGTATCCATAACAGGGGATGTGGCAGTAGGGTATGCCATCATGCTGGAAGACAGAAAAAGAATCTCCTTAGTCTGTCTCTTCCTACTGGACTCCTTCCTTCAGCATAACTTCCATTTCTGCCTTGCTCACCTCCGCGTGACTCCCAGCAGTCAAGGTCTTCCTACAACGTTGGCACCTCAGGCAGGGTCGGTGCCAGTTTCTGCCCAAAGACATCACCTTCTCCGCTGGTGGTGGAGAGAAGTGGTAGCTTTTTCCATCCTAGGGACAGGGCAAGGCCAACTCCCTGCCTCAAGTCACCACCCTCCCCCTCTGCTGCCTAAGCAAGCTTTCTGTTGTCACTTACCAAAATAGACAGGTTCTCCACATCCAGGGCACAGTGAGGTCTCCCCAGTAAATGTCTTCATGTAGGGAGGGCCTTTAATGGGAAGAGGCCCCAGATAGGGCTATGGTGGAGACCAGGCACTAAGCAGAGCCCTCCAGCCCCTGCCAGTGTATGGCACTGTCCACTTTCTAAACCCCTTCTCCACCACACCATACCCCAGGCAGCCATGAATGCGCCTCCCTTGAGCTCAAAACTCATCCTACCCTATTGGTCATCTTCACTGGGGACTACCTGCTGCCTTGTTACCCTCCCAGGGCCTCAGGAGCCCACTAGTTCAATGTTTCAGTGCTGGCAGTAACTCAATCATCAGGAAACCTGAGCTGATATAGGAGTTGCCCAGGGCAGTGGTGTCAGGTGTTGGGGAGCATGGTGTCACTGCCCACTGTGGGGAGTATAAGGAACAGGAATAGAGAAGAATCTGAGGAACTGGCCCATCCTAGTGAGCCCTAACTTTAGGCCTTTCCTACTACTGCTCTGGCTGGGGAAGGGGCCCAGACTCCAGGTCAGCTTTCCTTCTCATTAGCCGTCACCTGTCTTCTCTGGGTGTTTCTTGAAAAATGAGAGTGATCATGCTATCTGCCCAGTTTTCCTTTTAAAGTCAACTCACATGAGAGAACAGAAAAAAAAAAAAAAAAAAACCCAGGGCCACTGACAGGACTGCCAAGAGCAGTCACAGGTCTGTGGCACAGAGGGCAGGAGACCCAGTGTCTACTGCAGTCTGAAAGGTCCAAGGAGCAGGACAGGTGAAGCCCACCTTCACTTACTTTTCTTGGCCTGGGGGAGGCCAGCCTTTGGTCTTGGGGGTCTAAAGTTGCTGGGGCTGAGGGAAATGCTGCTGGTAGGGGAGGGAGCGTGGGGACTGTTGGGATAGAAACCCACACCACCAATGTTGACCCCTGCAGAGAGAAGACCCAATAAGGGAAATCAGGCTCTAATTGCTAGCCACAGGGAGAGTTCTGAGGCCCCGGCCCCTTCTAGGCTGGAACTTACCTCTAGGTCCAAAGAGAGCCCCATAGCAAGGCTTGTGGCAGTATGGCCTCCCGTTGTGCTGGGCACAAGCACAGGCAGAGGAAGGGGTCATTCAGGGCCAGGGGACGTGCTCACCGGCCTTTTCATTACTGGCCTCAGGTGCAAATGTGCACTGTGACTATTCTGATAGTGATGGGTGAGAGCTAGTATGTCAGATTGCCACTGTGGGCTAGGGATTGAGGATATGGGTGGGAGACAAGAGCTTACCCCTCCCTCAAAGCCATGGGCCAACAGCATCACTGAGACTCCCAAATTTTGGCTGGTATGAGGCCCATCAGGTGAATAGCCCCTGATGTTGTCTGCTGAGGTTGCCTTTGGCAGGTTTCCAAGGCTGAAATTGTGGTCTATCAGGGTGGGGGGTGTGATAGAGGGCTGTCACCCTGGTCAGGCCTCACCTCTGCATGCCCACCAGGGGACAAGATGCCGTGGCAGCGCTCACATTTCAGGCAGAAACGGTGCCAGTTCTTGCCTAAGGAGCTCACTTTCTCGGCTGTGGGGAACAAGGTGGATCCGGGCTGTCAGGAGTCCAGCTCAGCTCCAGGTGCCCTCCTTTTGTCCTTTCAGCTTTCTGGGGGAACCAGCCCAGCTGGTCTCGCCCTCTGGAGACAATGAATAGTATCTCCAGGAGAAAGTTTCAGCCCACCCTGGTGCCTCTTGCCTTAGACTCTTGGTGGCAGACACACACACACACACACACACACACACACACACACACTTATTCACTCACTCAAATGATACAGGGACCCCGGGGGCTCACACTTATCTTTACTCCTTGGTCCTAGCCTCACCGAAGTAAACTGGTTGCTGGCAACGTGGACAAGTCCAGCTCATGGTTCTTCATAGGACAGCCTAGTCCAAACAGCAATTCTAGGCACCGGCAGCTAAGTCCCGCCCCTCTGCCAGCCCCACCCACTGTCCAGCTTTGGTCTCATCAAGTTAGGGCTGCGCATTGGACACCAAAAACTTTGAGCTGAGGGACTGAGGCGATTTATCAATTTATTTTAAAGAACTTCAAAGAATGAGTGGAACCCCGACTTGGGAGAGAAGGAGCCCTGAGTTCAATGGCTCGTTTTCCAGGTCAGTGAAAAGCAAACAAGCAAGCATCAGGCAGGCATTCTTCTAAGTGGTTTAATTCCTCCTTAGTGGAGCAGGGCTGATAGCAAGGTGATGTGAAGTCCACCTTTCAAGTAAATCACACACACCTTCATTTTCTTGTTTGTACAAAGAGTAGGAACATGGTAGCAGTCTCCATGGCATGGGGTTGTAATAGATAAATTAATCTCAACAGTGCCTGGCACATGACTGCTATGAAAACAGTATGAAGAGTCCCTCAGATGAACTCATAACCCAGACTGTAAATTCCAAAATGTGGTCCTGCTCATAATCTATGACTTATGCATAAGATTATCAGACTTGTTAAATTTAGAAGTTTAAGTTAAACACCAGCCATATATTTCTAACTCCAAGACTTTAAAATGTTGTGTAGTCACTGATCACCATACAGGGGTGCAATGGCTAGCTACAACCCAATGGTCACACAGCTGGCCCTAGTTAAACTAAATGGGTCACAAACAAAACCCAAACCTGAAAACCATGAACCTGGGAAGTGACTAATAGGAACCGGGTTGGTGGAGGTGGTGAGAGAAAAGACGACAAGAAGGTGTGTGGGATGGTATTAATCAGAATGTTACACATGTGTATGAAATATCAGGTAACTAAATTAATTTAAAAATGAAAAACCCCTTAGCAATTACATCCCCAAAAGCCTGATAGAATATATTTAAGTTGTAGAACACATCTTAACTTTATTAGTTAAGTTTTGGTTTTTTGGTTTTTTGAGGCAGGGTTTCTCTGTGTAACAGCCCTAGCTGTCCTGGAACTAGCTCCTGTAGATCAGGTTGGCCTTGAACTTACAGAGAGCGCCTGCCTTTGCCTCCCGAGTGCTGGGATGGATTTTAAAGGCATGTGCCACGACTGCCCGGCTCTACATCTTAACTTTTAAACCAGACTTTATTATAAATATTAAATTTGTTATCAGTTATACAGCTACTCAGACGAGTCTTTTTTAGATTTTTACTTTAGGTGTTTAGGTGTTTTGCCTGTGTGTACACTGATGTGCATGCAGAACCCACAGAGATCAAGAGAGAGTAGGACCCCTGGAACTGGAATTACAGGTGGCTGTGCTCTGCCGTGTGGACTCTGAGAAGTCGAGTATTCTTAACTGCTGAGCCATCTCTCTAGCCCCATTCAGACGGGATTTTTTAAAATGACATTTAACAAAGTAAATAGAAACAGAGATATAAAAATATTTTAAAATGTGGCAAAAATAGCCCAAGGCTGGGGAATGGTCTTGCTCAGTGAAGTGCCTACTATTCAATCCTGAGAATCTGAATGTGGGTCTCCAGAACCCAGGCCACCATCGCCCGGCTAGCTGTTTTGTTTTTTGACCTTCAGGTTGAACTCAATATCAGTCTCTGGGTTTTTAATTAATCGTGCTATATTTGAATCAGATAGTAAAATGTCGTCCATGTGATGGTAAACTATAGACACAGGAAACTGCTTACATATCACATCATGTGGTATTACATGTGCTGGTTAGTTTTCTGTGTCAACTCGGGGAGTTGAAACCTCAACTGAAGAGCTGCCTCTATCAGACTAGCTTAGCAGGCATGCTAGTGGGACCTTTCCTTCACTACTGACTGAGGTGGGAGGGCCTGACCCACTCTGAGTGGTGCTACCCCTGGGTAGGTGGTCCTGGTGGTAAGAAATCAGGTTGAGCAAACCCTGCCTGGAATCCCTGCCCTGACTTCCTTTCATGAAGGACTATAAGTTATAGAATGGAATTGACCCTTTCCTCCTCGTGTTGCTTTTGGTCATGGTGTTTATCACAGCGACAGAAAACAAACTAGTAACAAACAAAATAGTAAGCGTATTATATAACATTATCCAGTGGTAAGAAGGCAGGCAGTACTGATGCGTGCTACAGCAGGGGCGAACCATGAAAACATTAACGAAGAAGTGTGATTCTATTTCTAGACCATCTTATCAATTCCTGCCTAACCGGCTCCTCTCCATGTATCCAGTACCAGGCTATGGAGCACAGTGACTCCTACAGCACCCCCCCTGCTGAAGGGTAGATAGAGCCCAACCCAGAACAGCCAAACCTGATTAAAAATTAAAAAGGCAAATACAGTCTAGAAGTAAAATTGGCCTGCCAACTTCCTGTTTTTACCCCTCCACACAGTCAACTATGAGCTGTCTGCTCCCTTAATGAGTGAACACCGTCAGGCACTGTATCTCCAGTGCCTCGCTCAATCTCTCGCACATAATGTGCAATAAGCCATGTCTGTTAGTGAGAGAACGGAGACTACTCACAAAAGTCCCGGCTGTGAACACTGTTGCTAATGGAAGGGATGTGGAGAAAAGGGTCCAGGAGGACTCAAGACTTGGTAATGAGGAAGGCCTGGATCTAGGGAAGCTCAGTTGCCTAGGTACAAGGTCTCTTTCTTTTCTTGTTCCTTTTTTCCTCAGAATTTGGGATTGAATTTAGGGATTGGTCAAGCTAGGCAAGTGCTCTACCACTGAGTTATATTCCCGACCATGCAGTTCCTTTCTTTTTTTTTCTTTTAAATCAATACTTTATTTATTTATTTATTTATTTATTTATTTATTTATTTATTTATTTATTTATTTATTTATTTATTTATTTATTTATTATGTATACAATATTCTGTCTGCATGTATGTCTGCAGGCCAGAAGAGGGCACTAGACCTCATTACAGATGGTTGTGAGCCACCATGTGGTTGCTGGGAACTGAACTCAGAACCTTTGGAAGAGCAGGCAATGCTCTTAACCACTGAGCCATCTCTCCAGCCCCTGCAGTTCATTTCTTAAAACACATAACTATTAACATGTATGATACAAAACAATATGATTAGACTAAGCCCAATTATAAGTATCAGGTAACTAAGCTAGGCATGGTGGCACATGCCTTTTATCCCAACACTCATGAGGCAGAGACAGGCAGATCTCTGAATTCAAGGACAGCCAGGACTACACAGAAAAACCTCATCTCGAAAAAAACAAAAACCAAATCAAAACAAAACAAAAAACCAACCAACCAAACAAAAAATATCAGGTATCTAATTAAAAAAACGTGAAAATTTGCTTTGGCAGCAAACCATCCCTACTATTTACAGACATTCACAAGACCTACTAATTAAGCTCAATTAGCTGAAGCACAAATGATATGTATCATTCATTGACTGTGTGGCAAATGAGGGAATGTGGGAAAGTGTGATGTAAACTATAAGCTCCATATGTGTATCACTGTTGTTAAGTGTTTGGTTCACTTTGCAGTGAGTTTGATTACAAATATAAACTCTACTAATTGTATGTTTCTCGAGACTGGCTCATATATATGATCACGTGCTTGTGACATGTAAGGCAATACCAAGAACTATGAGCTAGACATGTGGCAAATGCCTGCCATCCCCTCAGGCAAAAGGATGGCAGACTGAGGCCAGCTGGGCTATACCAAGAGACCTGTCCCAACATGTCATCCTAATGAAAAAAACCAAAACCCCTTTGTTCTAGATAACTGTTTAAAACTTGAATTGACTAGAGGGCTGGAGCAGTGACTCAAGGCTAAGAACACTTGGTTTTGAAGAGGACTGAGGGACATGGCAGCTCACTACCATTCCTACCTTTGGTTCCAGGGTACCCAGTGCCCTCTTTTGGTCTCTGCAGAAACACAGACATGTACACAGAGATATATGCAAACAAAACATTCATATCCATGAATATTAAATAAATATAAAAAACATTAATGGACTAGAAAACTTCTGAAAGGAAAATAACTCAGTTCTGTAAGTTAATGAAAGTAAGTAATAGAAAGCTTTACCTTTTGTAGTTTGTATTCCTTAATTTTTTTTTTTTAAAAAAGAGGAGTAGAGAAAGTCACTTAGTAATAGGATTCATGCCTAACATGCACAAGGTGCTGGGCTCAATCCCCAGCATCTGGCATCTCTCTCTCTCTCTCTCTCTCTCTCTCTCTCTCTCTCTCTCTCTCTCTCTCACACACACACACACACACACACACACACACACACACACACACGCAGGGAGGTGAGGGAGAAAGACAGAGAGACAGACTGAGAAAGACAGAGAGACTTGAGAGACTGACTCTGAATTTGCTTTCTTAAAAACATAGCAATGCCTAACTTAAGAGAGAACCCGTGTGTATGGCTGATCACATATCATCCCTCTCCTGTTTTCGAGCACCATCTTATCCTTACAAGCTTTTGTTTTTTTCTTTTTGGAGAAGGGTTTCTCTGTGTAGCTCTGGTGGTCCTAGAATTCACTCTGTAGAC